ATGTTTGCTCGATAACATAAATACGAATTAAATATGCACTCACCTGTTGTCATTAGCTTGTAAACCTTCCTAGCACTTCATATTACGTCCTTAAGCTTCTCAATTTTAACATTGTTTGATCTTGATTTCAATCATAATCTAAATGAACATCATTTACACAACATATACATATCAAACCATATGTTAGAATCTTACTAACATAGGCACAAAATAGAAAATAAATTCCTAAGAACCTTTCGGTGCTCATTCGATACGAATTTCATATCACATTATCAATGTTGGCCTTAATACTTCAAATTGACCAATAAATCCCTTTTTATCCAAATTCACCCAAACTTCATATAACATTTTTTCAACTTTCCATTTTAACTTACTGTTACCACTTAAGCCACTAACTTTCTCAATATTTTCCATTTAGTACTCAAACTTTGCCAACTTTTCAAAATAGTCAAATTTCAAATTCTAACATCAAATTCAATATTCTAACTTTCAATTCCAACATAGTACATCATCTTTATAGAATTTGCGCATAAATACCATAATTTTCCATAATTTCCAAATAGGTCCCCCAACTTTCATAAATTTATAAAATGGCCCAAATAACTTTCTAAAGCTTGTAGAACCTTTCAAACATCATTTCTAGGCCTAGGGAAATTTTTCACAATTTCCCCCCGATTGATTCCTTAGGGTCGAATATCATAGTGGTAGGGTTCTTGATTCTCACTTGATTCAAGCATGAATTCCTAAACAACATTTCAAGGCTTATATAATTAAAGCCCTAACATAATTTAACCCAATCACAATTTTCTCAAAACCCTAGGTCATGGCCAAATGAAATTTCACCCAATTTCAAACAGTTTTAGGTGGTGTTTGTTTTTGCAGAGGTAGAAGGTCTGCAGTCTGCGGACCACATCTGCATACATCTGCAACAGAAGAGGTGGACCAAAAGTCTGCAGTCTGCAAGAAGAAGATTGTTTATTTTTTAACGTCTGCAGACTGCTAAAATAAACTGAAATATAAATAAACTGATTTTTTAAACTTAAAAGAGTTTTGCAATACTGAAATTTAAATACTTTTAGTTTTATAATACTGAAATTTAAATAATCCATACAACTACAATAATAATTTTTTTAAAATAAATCAATCCATATTTTAAAATAAATCAATCAATATTTTAAAATAAAATTTTCCATATTTTAAAATAAATCAATCCATATTTTAAAATAAAATTTTCCATATTTTAAAATAAATCAATTCATATTTTAAAATAAATCAATCCATATTTTAAAATAAATCAATCCATATTTTAAAATAAATCTATCCATATTTTAAAATAAATCAATCCATATTTTAAAATAAATTTTTCCATATTTTAAAATAAATCAATCCATATTTTAAAATAAATTTTTTCCATATTTTAAAATAAATCAATCCATATTTTAAAATAAAATTTTTCATATTTTAAAATAAATCAATCCATATTTTAAAATAAATTTTTCCATATTTTAAAATAAATCAATCCATATTTTAAAATAAAATTTTTCATATTTTAAAATAAATCAATCCATATTTTAAAATAAATGTTTCCATATTTTAAAATAAATCAATCCATATTTTAAAATAAATCAATATATATAAATCAATCTATATTTTAAAATAAATCAATCCATATTTTAAAATAAATTTTTTCATATTTTAAAATAAATCAATTCATATTTTAAAATAAATCAATTCATATTTTAAAATAAAATTTTAAAATAGATTTAAATAATTTTAATTTCTTTGAAGACTTTTGAAGACATAAAACCATGTCTGCACCAAGAAGACCTTGCGCATACGTTAGAAGAGCTTTTATCTTCTAAAAAATAAACGGTCTGCGAAGCTCAATGTCTGCGCGGCGCAGACATAAGAGCTTTGCAGACCTTACACAGTAAAAACAAACACCACCTTAATCATCATACAAACTTTAGAATTAATCTCCAACATCAAAAACATAAAAACTTTCATCGAATCCTCAAAATTAATAAATCCTACATAAACCCTAATTTCCAAAATCATCATATAAGCATGATCTCTATGTAATATTTATACCAAATGATAGAGAATTTCAAGGGGATTAATTCTCTATCTAATAGCTTAATCCAAAAATCAATTGAATAAGCTTAAAAAAAATTCTTATCTTATAGCTATGGTGGTGCACGTTTTGGGGCGGGAAGAAACTGAAAATTTTTGATTTTTCTTCAATTAAAATATAATACACTAGGCTTAATCTAATATAAATGAATTTAAAATTCATTTAATGTGAAATTATCATTTTACCCTTAATGAAACATGATAATTTCAACTTGTCATTGCATTATCATCCCTTTTAATATTCCAAAATAAAATATGAAAAAAAATTTAAAAAAAATCCACTTTCCACTTTTGCCCTTACAAATTTTCAAAAACTGCAATTCAGTCACTCAATTTTTCAATTTTAACTAAATATGTAAAATCAACTTCAATTTCACTAGTTCACATTAAATTTCACTGTTCTAAAATTTGAAAAAAATATTTCCAACCTTTATCTATCATCCTTCAAATTTTCTTAAAATTCTTGTTCGAACAGATTATCCAATTTTCTTTCAGACTTTACTGCTTTATAGCTTTTAACACGAATTTTAGATCAAAATTTTGATTCCCACGAAAATTTTATTATTGGGGTTAAACTATTCATTTACGGGGTCAAATACCTAACTTTTAAAAATTACCTTTTTGGTCCCTAAACTTTTCTAGCTTTCTACTTTGGTCACTAAACTTTCAAAATTTATGTTTTAGTCACTAACCAAAATTTGGGGTATTATACAAAAAATTTTAAATTTTCACTTGACATAACGAAAACTATCTATTAGACCTCTCTCCTTTCGTTGGAGCCTCGAAGAAGCTCACATCATTCACACACATATATCTGAATCTACTGCAATACAAAGACAAGACTTTAACATGTATGTGACCTACTAGAACGAAATTCAAGTTATGGCGATTAAATTGATTTAGTCAGCTGATCTATGAATAGCCATAATGATTCTATGTTTGACAACACCAGTTAAGAACCACTATAAATATCTCAGCCAAGATTGATTAAGGAGCTGGAACCTTCTATAGAAAAGAAACCATTTCTTCCTTCGTCTCCTTCGTGAGTCATGACCCGCTTTTTCTTATAGAGAAATATCGGTCAACGGTCATCCACTTGTCGGTCACGACTCCCTGTTCAAATCAAAAGGAATGAATCGTCAAGTTCCCATCGACACATAACTCGTTGGGATGAACTATTTGGGGATATAGTTCTATTTCCACATTAGGATCAGGAAGAAAAGATCAGCAGATTCAGGTAATCTGGTTCTGAAATACGAGGCTTATTTCGTAAGAAATTCTAAAGCCTGCAAAAAACAAGCCAGCTTTCAGAGAATATAATTCACTTTTTGTCTCTAAAATGCCAAAAGCCTTTTAGTTTGATTTTCCCCATACTGGTTTCCACTACCAAAACTTGCAGCAAAGGAACTTATTCAGGCGCCTATTTCCCACGTTTATCTTTCCCAAATTATCTGCTTAGATCAACTCAGTTAGAGTTTAACCAAAGTTTCAATTTCTTAAGAATGCAATAACGTTGGATACTTAATGGGAAATCAACACAGTTAAATCATTGGACAGAGGTCTGCTTTTTGTGTTTGCAGAAATTCATCAAACTCCATCTAGCAAACCCCTTTAAATGATGAGTCATTTTCAGATGAATCCCCAGTCTGAAAAAGACAAGTCTTTGTTTTATCACGTGGCTGCAAAAGCCATTATTAACATGGCATGTGGGGAATGTTACTCTAAAAAACTACCATTGATGAGTTGATGAGATTAAAACGAGGAGAAATGTTTGAGTTGAAAGCCAAAAGATTTTGGTTGTGTAGCTTCTTGAAATGGCTCAATCGAACGAGACTGTGACCGGACACAATAAAGAAAAGTCGGTCACAAGCTAAAGCAAAGGCTTCTTTTTTAAAATTTTGCCCCATTGTCCATGGAAGATGAGGTGAACCTCAATAATTAGTACCAATTTCTTGTGTTGGAGACCCACATGCTAATCGCAAACGTTGTCATAGTCCTTTTTGCCATCCCAAGTTGTGGTCCGACCTCCCTTGCCCTTGGCCTTTGCCTTGTCCTTTTCTACTCCTCTTTTTTTTTATCTAAAAGTCATAATAAAAAATGCAAACAACGAGATATTAGATCTCTTAAGTAAGGTCAAATGTTTGATTTATAACGTTGTAAATTAAATAAATTACTTTAGAGAATTGTCGATAAATGAGTCTCTACAATACTCGATATAAATTAATTGATCAGTTTAAGATTCATAGAACTAAATTAGAAATGCTTATCAAGAGAGTCGATCACAAGTTGAGTATTACTCGACTCAATTTGATGCTTGTTCAAAAAAAAAATTTTGCTTGACTTATTAAGCTCGCAAGAAATTTTATCTCATTTTTGTTTGAAAAAGTATACGTCTTAATATAAAAATAAATTGAAAAAAAAATGATGAATCAATCCTAAAATCTAAACTACAAAATTATAATTTACAAAACAATCCACAAATACACCAAACTAACATATTAAATAAGTTGTTTGCAAATTTATCGAGTCAAATCATATCTTATTCAACTCAACTCGTTAACATCTCGAGTCAAACTCGAATTCAAATCAAGTTAATATAAATGAAAGACCAATCAAATTTTAATTAAATCAAACTTCAACTGCTCACAAACTCTTTTAACTTAATTACGACCCCTAAACTAACCTAAGAATTTACCATTTCTCAATCTAATAGACTGTTCAATACTACAGCATAGTAACATTGTGATTTGTCATTTTCTCATAACCAACTTAGAGCGTGTAGGCTCCCTTGTCGTGGCTCCCCCACCTCAAATGTTCCAAGGGATAATGAAAATGAAAAACCGAGTAGACCACCACCTTTTCTCCCTATATTTGTAGTTGAATCTTCCTTATTATTCCACTCACATCTCAACCTTCTTCAATCCAATAATGCCACCGGTTCACTCCACTTCATACTTCCAAATGGACAACCCGGCCGCCATACTGTCTTTGCTCCGTCCAACTACCTGCGACAAGCACAAAAAGTCCAACAGCGGTGGCGGCGGCCTCTTGCGCATGTTCAAGCTCTTCCCCATGCTAACCTCCGGCTGCAAAATGGTCGCGCTATTGGGCCGACCACGGCGGCCGTTGCTGAAAGACAGTGCCACCACGGGTACCATTTTCGGATATCGCAAAGGCAGGGTGTGCTTAGCGATACAAGACGATCCCCACAGCGTACCGGCGTTCATCATCGAACTACCGATGCTCACGAGCTTGCTTCAAAAGGAAATGGCCTCCGACATAGTGAGGATTGCGTTGGAGAGCGAGACCAGGACGCATAAGAAGAAGGTGCTGGAGGAGTTCGTGTGGGCGGTGTTCTGCAATGGGAGGAAGATGGGGTATTCTATCAGGAGGAAACAATTGTCCGATGATGAGCTCCATGTTATGCAGCTGCTCCGAGGTGTTTCGATGGGCGCCGGTGTTCTTCCTAGCCCCAACGACAAGGAAACCGACGGGGAATTAACGTATATGAGAGCTAGATTTGAGAGGGTGATCGGATCCAAGGATTCGGAAGCTTTTTATATGATTAATCCCGATGGTGTTGTGCCTGGTCCGGAACTCAGTATTTTCTTTGTAAGATCTCGCTAGAAAAATTTATACACTAATACCATACAAGACTATTCTCCTTTAATGTTTCGACATTTTTGAGAATAAGATGAACACTTTGTCTGAAACTTGACAATGGACATGGAGATGTTCAATAATGGCAGAAAGTGTTTCTGGTTTAATGTATTTTGACAGTAAATTTGGGTTTTGGATTGAGATTATTATCTACTTGAATACAAAGCAATTACGAAATTTTATCCTCAAATCTAAATAGAATTTCCTGTCATGGCTGACAGGCTTAAAATACTTGCCACCAGGAACTCCCCGCTTACTTTCTCATAGCCCAAATGATGTTGACAATCTACTGTATAAGTTTTAAATATATGAACATAAATTAAGAAAACGTATCTGAAAATTATATAAAAAGAAATTAAGAAACAAATAAATTTACCTTTATCCGACATTGATATTCGAATCCAAACAACCTAGTTATCTTGTAGGAACAAAGAAGAAACAGCATACGAAAACGAGATAGGTAAAAGAGAAGAAGCACCCTACTACAACAAAAAGAACAAGCGGAAACTGAACAAACAGCTAAAAAAACAAAACACTTAGGGTTTGTTTGTTTATTTTAGAATGATTAAACATTGAATGATTCAAATGTTGAATAATTCAGAGACTCTGAATGATTAAGCGAAAACAACCTAGTTATCTTGTAGGAACGAAGAAGAAACAACATACGAAAACGAAATAGGTAAAAGAGAAGAAGCACCCACAAGCGGAAACTGAACAAACAGCTAAAAACAAAACACTTAGGATCTGTTTGTTTACTTTATAATGATTAAGCGCTGAATGATTCAAATATTGAATGATTCAAAGACTCTGAATGATTTGGCTCTGAATGTGACATGTTGTTTGATAACTGGCTCTGAATGATTCAGAATGTACTTTTTGTGTTGAATCATTCAGCAATGTTTTGTTGAATCAGTCAGCACTGAATCATTCAGAGGTGCGAAACAAACACGCTGAATGCTGAACGGTTCAGCATTCAGCGATGAATGGTTCCATTAAAAGGCAAACAAACAGCCCGAATACGAATAATCCATGTTCAAATCACCGCTTCAGCAAAGCCCAACAAACAAGCTTCTCTTTTAATTTCAAGGTAGATTTTGAAGAATTGTTGGGTTCGGATTTGTCTTGAGGAATGACGAGATAGTTGCTCAACTTATCGTTTAATTACAGATTTATAGAAAAAAATGTTTGAATTATTATTTTAAATTTAAAATGTTTTGATTTAGACGGTGGTATAATTTCATCGATGGTGACAAATAGATGAAGGTTGGATGAAACGTGGGCTTAGAGGTCATCTGATATAGGCAAATTCTAGAGCCCTAAAATTAAGAAAAGGCCTTAGAATAGACCGAAAGAAACAAAAATAAATCCATGGAAGTCAATAATGAAACCCGGCCCAAGAAGAAAATAGCATGTTGAATTTGGAGTATCCTCGTCGGCTTTTGTTGTTCTCATCGCTATGATCCTGCTGGACCTCATTTTCGAATTCTAGTGTTCATAGGTAATTTGTTCTCGGTTTCGTTCCTTTTCTTATTGAGTTAGCAATCATAGTTTCTTTTACTGATTTTTAGAAATTTCAATAGCAACTAGAACACGACCACTGAAGGTTTTTTCTTTCTGGTTTTGTTTCAAATGCAGTGTATATTAAGATCTGATTGGGTTCTGTGATTGTTTGGCAAAAAGGATAAAAACCCAGTTTTGAGATTATCTTATTTCAAGAAGAAGATGAGTTCTGCTCCTAAACAAAATTTGTTCTGTCTGAAATGGCCTTGGGATGTAAACAAACAGACCAAAAGCCCTAACCTTTGCAACTTTGAAGGTCCTTGGTTATTCAAGTCAATGCAAAATCTTGGTTCCCTTGTTCTAAACACCTTCGACTCGGTTTCGAAACCTTCTCGTTTATGGGTCAATAATTTTAAGCCTATCCAATTGGCTAGCGGTGCTACTCAAAACAACAACTTGAAGTTTAAAGGGAAAACATCGAGTCCTCAAGAACAAGGGGAAGCAGAGCAGAGAGCTTTCGCATCCGCGCTAGCGAGTGGGAAGGAGGCAACCGTGATTGAGTTTTACTCACCTAAATGTAGTCTGTGTAATTCATTACTTAAATTTGTCATGGAGGTGGAAAATAGGAATTCAGATTGGCTCAACATTGTCTTGGCTGATGCTGAGAATGAGAAATGGCTGCCTGAGGTACTTATCTCCTAAATTTCGATTATATGTTTAGAGTTCGATGCACGAATATGGCTCCAAGGTAAATGAACATGGAAAATTGAAGATTCTGATTTGAATACCACTGTATTTTATGATAAAAAAATTAGACAGTTATTGTTAGTGTTAACAGGTCTCAGTTCCATATGTCAATTTCATCCATTTCCAGGTCTGCTTAAAGACAATTGTGGTAACTGGTAAGCAGTGATGAACACTTGGACTTCGCGATTTTCCATGACAGCACTGCACCACTCTCACTAGTTTTAGTTTAAGGTTTAGTAATTTCCCCATAGATTATGGCTTTAGTTAGATATGTAGAGTTAAAAGACCTCTCGAGTAAGTTTGGTTGTCAGCATCCCGATAACATGTGAAAGTGGTTCATCATCGTATATGATGGTAGAAACTCTTAGAAAGCTGCATGTCAGGTACTGCTATATTCGAGGTTCAACGAATGCATGTTAGTTATTTGAGTTACCGAGGAAGTTTGTTTAAATGACGTTCTAGTTGATAAATCAGAGCATATAGCAAGTTCCTGGTGATCCTTCTTGGTCTTTTCCCATTTCTTAAAATCATGTATCATGGACTATGATTGTCTTGTTTTTTGCTTCCCTACAATATGTTTCCTTTACATGCAGAACAAAAATAGTAGTTTTTTTTGGGCATTGATTTTAAGACTTAGGAGAACCATAATTTGATGATTAACCATGCGTCTGCCCGTGCAAGACGGTAGATTATTCGTGTACCTCAGTCCGACCGGTACAAGTTCTGGCTGATTTAGTTGCATTCGTTTTGATGTAGCTTCTCCATTACGACATCAAATATGTTCCCTGCTTTGTGCTGTTGGACAAAAACGGGTGGGCGCTTGCAAAGACGGGTATTCCGAGCAGTCGTCTGCATGTAGTGGCAGGTCTGTCTCATCTTCTCAAGATGAAGCGTCCGGCATGCAGCAGTAGCATTCGGTCATCTTCTCGTGAATGACTTGTTTTTGCCATTGTAAGCTGATGGAACACATGTTTCGTCCTTGGTACGGAGGGCATTAGAGCGTGTGTAAAATAGGTTTTAAGAAATCCTTGCAATGAAGAGTTGAACTGACAGCTTAATTACTCTGCTAGTTTAGTCATGAAGATCTTGGGATCATGCTTCTTTAAACGTACATTACATTCTACTTTGAATAATTTAGAATTTGTTTCAAGAAAAAGTCAACTCAAGCCGAGGCTATAAATGACAGCTCTTCACATTTCATCATAATTAATTGATTATGATATATATATATATATATATATAAAGAAATAGTACGGACAGAACTGTTATTCTAACCAAGCTATGATTACCCTTCTGAAAAAGAAATATAGGGACGACTTTGCGTTTTAGGTTTAAGACTTTGTTACATTAATCGTCACTGATTACATAAATATGGTCAACATATTGGTGAGTTATCACTATAACAACTTAATTAATTAGCTTTCTGAATTAAATTACCAGTCACTATTTCTTCTGATACATGAACCAACCACATTATAATTTAGGGTAAATTTTGCACTTAGTATCTAAACTATCAGTTTTAGTCTGTTTTAGTATTTAAACTTTTAATTTTTTTTAAAAACATACTTAACGTTTAGTTTTTATTTCGTTTTAGTATCTCACCGTTAAAAACTTAACAGGTGATCTGTAGGTGACACCTTTTATATGGGTAAATTGCATCATTCATCACTCAACTATCTTCTAACTTCTATTTTAGGTTTAAATTTTTATAATTTAATTAACTAACTTTCAAATTACTCCTAATTTAATAAGTCTAACTTTCAAATTTATTTATTTTAATTATATATTAATAAAATAGTAATAATAAATTTCATATTAAAAAAGTAAATAACAGTGTTTGAAATTGGAGCAATTTGAAAGTTGAGTAGTTAAATTGAAAATTTTTAAACTTTATTATCAAAATAGGAGTGAGAAGATAGTTATGTGATGAATGATATCATTTACTCATAAAAAATACAGCGCGGTTAAGTTTTTCACAGTACTAAAATGAAATAAAAATTAAACGTTAAGTATAATTTTAAAAAATTGAAAATTTATGTACTAAAAACGATCAAAATAAATAATTTATATATTAAACACGTAAACTACCCTATAATGTAAATACCATATTCATTACATCAGTATGCATGATTATTTTACCTCAATTAAGTAATTATAATATTCGTATCTAAATAGTACTTATGACTCAAACCGGTATTATTTTGATATGTCGATTGTTCCTAAAAAAAATTGAGATTAAACTGTACACTAACTTCTTCAAGACAAAGTTGATTTAAATAAAAGCAGTTAATATTATTAAAATGTAAAAATATCTAAAATTATAATAAAAATTTACTACTATTATAAACTAAATACATAATTTAGACATTTTCTTATAATATTAAAACTAATCATTTTAGATTATATAAGTACCATAAATGGAAAAGGTTAAAAACTCAATCAAAAGACTCGAATAAAAATATATACAAATAAATCTAGTTGCATCGGTAAATAAACCACAAAAGAAAATTAAGCTATTAAAAGATCACTGAGAACTGCAAATCAAAGTCGAACGTCGTAAGAAATTATATACGAACGCAACGTCACGCATCCAAATTCAATCCGAATGTTCATAACAGAGAACATCAACAATATTTCAGATAAGTGATATCTTAATTAGTCGTAGCGTCTTCAAATCCAACTCTGTAAAAAAAACATAAATAAAAGAATAATTAAACGACAAAAAAAACGAAAAACATGCCACAAAGACAGAATTATTCTTATTAAAAACTACAAAAAATAAGAGAAAATTGAACTGACAGTCGGTAATCGATATCAAAACCGATGTTGTCGTTGG